TGTAGGAATTGGTAAAAAGTTTGGAGAGAAGAGGTATGTCTGAGCTCTGCTTCATAGGAATCAGCCCTGGGCTGATGCTAATAATGATTCTCTGTCCTTGTGAAGTTAGATGAGGAGGTCAGATGACCCTGCCGTGCAATTTTTACACTTTGTACATGTGGGTCCTTGAATAGAATGTGTATTCTTTTGTTCTTGGTGGAGTGTTCTATAATTGTAAATTAGATCCTGTGGGTTGATGGCATTGTTGAGTTCTATTTCCTTACTGATTTCTAGTCTACTTGTTCTGTAAACAAGCCCAAGGGTGGATAAGGCGTGGCTGTTTTGGGGGGTATCGGTATAACTTGGACTTGTAGGCTAAAGCGTCCACATAGCTGAAGCCCCCTCATGGGGTAGAATGTTACTAGGGGAGGAACAGTAGGGAAGTGACAAAGGATTCTAAATTCAAACGTGGCCTTCCAGCAGGTCATTATGAAGGTATATTTTTCAAAGTAGAGTAGAATGTAATATATTTAAGTTTTCTAGCATGGTTTATAACTTTTCAATTTTTAGGTATATGGTATGTTGGCCTCCATTTGTACTCTTTCTCGTGGCCCTCAAGTGTAAGGAACACGCCTGCTTATATATTCTTAGATCTGTTTCTAAATTTTCTGTTTTCTACAGTTAATGCTACAGTGCCCCAACCTTGCTTTTTCATTTATCCTGCTTCATAGTTTATAGTCCTCCCTCATATTTGGGAGAAAATTTCCAGATGGTTCATTATGCTTGCTTTTTTTATGAACTTCAGGATTAAAAAAAAAAAATCTGCTAAAAACCACAATGAGGCTTTGATTGGAATTGAATGGAAATAATGTATTTAGTGAGAAAATTGATGTCATTGCATTATTGATTCTTCATGTACAAAAATGAAGTGTTCATCTCCCTTTATTCAACCCCCCCACCCCTTTTTTGTCCCTCATTTGAATTTTAAAGGTTTTGCTCATTTTTTTGTAAAATTCATTTCTAGGTTATTGTTGCCATTATTAATGGCATATTTTTAATCCCTCACTGTTGATGGCTATTCCATTCTTTGCTCAGACCATAAACTTTGAGGACATGCTTGACTCCTCTCTATCGCATTCCACATCCAGTGGCTCTTGGCTCTACCTATAAAATATATTTAGAATTTGACCACCTCACTGTACTCCTTTGATATCTCACTGGGCTGAATCACCATCATCTCTCTCCTAAATTAATAAAGGGTTTCCTTGCTACCTTCCAGTGTATTCATAAAACAGCAACCAGATATCACTTCTTTACTCTGAACATTTCAGTGGCTTTCCATCTCACTCAGAGTAAAAGCTAGATTCCACAGAAGGCATGCAAGGCTTAAAGGATCTGATTACCCTTTATCTCCTTGAATTCATGTCCCGAAACTCCCCACTAGCCACTCTGTCCTTCTTGCTGTTCCTCAGACATACCAGACATGCATCTCCTGTGTGGCCTTTAAACCAGCTCTTCTGCCCAGAGTGCTCTTTCCCCAGATGTCTAAATGACTAACTTCTTTACTTCCTTCAAATCTTTGCTTAAATGTTAACTTATTAATGATTCCTACCTTTGGCTTCCCCCACACTCCTGATCTGCTTTACTCTGATTCTATTTTTGTAGCACTTAGTATCTGCTAACATGTAATAAAATTTACTTATCTATCATTTATTTTCTGTCTCCCCAAGAGTGTAAGGTCCATGAAGGTAAGAATCTTTGTTTTGTTTACTGGGGTATCAAAAGTATCTAGAACAGTGCTTGGCACAATGTAAATATTTATTCAGTGAGTGTTCTTGAATGAAGCAGCTATAAGAATGGAGATTATTTCAGTGCTTGTATTATTAATATAGGCATAAAATTTTAACCAAGTCCAGACCACCTCCATAATTCTGTCTTGTCCTGAGATTTACCTTGCAGTCTTAACAATTCTGTTAATTTCTTCTCAAATTTCTATGTGAGCTACTTTGTTTTCTTGCACATTTAAGAACTATGAAAGCAATATTCTTGTGGGTTTTATTTGCTGCTAAATTCATATACTTCATTTTATGACTGTACTTTCTTCTGGTACATAATAGAGGAGATTTTTCTTATGATTTTTCAGGCTGGGAATCTATGTGTGAGACTGAAGAATTAACCCCAAAGCAGGCCATATATGAAGAAGAATCATCCCAGAAGTTAATAGAAGAAATTACAAGCTGTGGTCTGGAATTCTCCAGTTTGAGAGAAGAGTGGAAATATGAAAGCCATTTTGAGAAGCAACCAGGAAATCTGAAGGCCTGTTTAAAGGAAGAGACAATCATTCATGAAGAAACCCTTCTTGATAAAAGAGAACAAGAATATAACAAATCTTGGGGAAGCCTCTATCAGAACACACAGTTTCATACACAACAGATAATCCCCAAAGAGGAGAAAGTACATAAACCTGACACATGTAAGAAAAGCTTCAAAAAAAATTCAACGGACATTAAGCCCAAGAGTGTCTATGTAGAGAAGAAACTTTTGAAATGCAATGACTGTGAAAAAGTCTTCAGCCAGAGCTCATCACTTACTCTTCATCAAAGAATTCATACTGGAGAGAAACCGTATAAATGTGTAGAATGCGGGAAAGCCTTCAGCCAGAGATCAAATCTTGTTCAACATCAGAGGATTCATACTGGAGAGAAACCCTATGAATGTAAAGAATGTAGGAAAGCCTTCAGTCAAAATGCGCATCTAATTCAACATCTTAGAGTTCATACTGGAGAAAAACCTTATGAATGTAAGGTATGTAGGAAAGCCTTCAGCCAGTTTGCCTACCTTGCTCAACATCAGAGAGTTCATACTGGAGAGAAACCCTATGAATGTATCGAATGTGGGAAAGCATTTAGCAATAGATCATCTATTGCTCAACACCAAAGAGTTCATACTGGAGAGAAGCCTTATGAGTGTAATGTCTGTGGAAAAGCATTTAGCCTTCGGGCATACCTTACCGTACATCAGAGAATACATACTGGAGAGAGACCCTATGAATGTAAAGAATGTGGAAAAGCCTTCAGCCAGAATTCACACCTTGCTCAACATCAGAGAATTCATACTGGAGAAAAACCTTATAAATGTCAGGAATGTAGGAAAGCGTTTAGCCAGATTGCGTACCTTGCTCAACATCAGAGAGTTCATACGGGAGAGAAACCCTATGAATGTATTAAATGTGGGAAGGCTTTTAGCAATGACTCATCCCTCACTCAACATCAGAGGGTGCATACTGGAGAGAAACCTTATGAATGTAATGTTTGTGGGAAGGCCTTCAGTTACTGTGGATCTCTTGCCCAACATCAGAGAATTCATACTGGAGAAAGACCCTATGAATGCAAGGAATGCAACAAAACCTTCAGACAGCATGCACACCTTGCTCATCATCGGAAAGTTCATATTGGAGAGTCACTCTCACCACCCAATCCAGTTTGTCACCAAGTCTTATAGCATCTACTAAATCTGGAATATATTCTGTTTTCTCTGTCTCTAATGTTATAACCCTCATCTAAGATTCAGCTCATCTGGACAACTGCTATAGCTTTCTAACACATCTTCCTATATCCACTTTTGCTCCCCTTAAATCCATTTCCACAAGGCACCAAAATTGCTCTTTTTAGAGTATAAGAATACACACATCATTGGTGTTCCAGAGGTGGTAAGTGTTCAACTGCTAACCAAAAGGTTGGTGGTTCAAACCCACCAGCTGCTCTGTGGGAGAAAGATGTGGCAGTCTGCTTCCATAAAGATTACAGCCTTGGAAACCTTATGGGCATTTCTGTTCTGTTCTGTCCAATAGGGTCACTATGAGTTGGAATCGACTCAGTGGCAACAGGTTTTGTTTGTTCTTAGGCTAATATCCATAACCTTTAAAATTGTGTATGTGACTCTCCATTGTCTGGTTGTTACATGGATTTCAACCTTATTTTATTTCAGTCTCCCTCTCTGGGCACTAGGCACTTCCCAGGATTAAGTACTTAGATTCTGGAAAATCATACTTTGCCACTACTGTGACACTGTATGACTTTGAGGAGTTTGCTTGACTTACTAAACCTCAGAGTTTTCTTTAACTCTTAAAATAGAGACAATGAAGGATGCCGTATGGTAGAAATGTATGAAACAATAGTTTCTGTTATAGATTAATGCATATTAAATGAGACGTTTACATGTAAAGTACTTCACAAAATGTTTCACATATAGTAGATGCTTAATAAATGATAACAACTAACATGTATTAAGTGCATACTATGCACCAGGCACCATTTAAAGTACTCAACTTACATTAACTCATTTACTCCTCACAGCTAAAGCAAGATTTCTTGGTAGACAAAGTAGAGCATCCCTGGGAAACAGCAGGTGACAACTGGGAAAACCTTAACATTTTAGAACATAAGGAGTCTTTGTACCTTAGGTAGGTAATGAATATAGACACAGGTAGAACTATAACACTTAGAACCAGTTTTAGGGAGTTTCTAATGAGAATGGATTGGATACCTCAGTTGAAATAAGGAAAATTAGGATTCACTAAGAAGAATACATAATTTACATTTAGGTCAGAGTATATCACAATTAACTCTAAAAACCCAATAAACATGGAAATTCATACTGTCCCAAAAAAAGGACCAGGCCCAGGTAATTGTATACTCATACAATCATTCAGGGGATTTCTAAAGCATGTAAACTCTTCCAGAGCATAGAAAAACTGGAAAGTTTCTGAAGTTTTTATCCACTTGTTGCAGAACTGAAATCAAAAGGGAATGGAGGGAGGAAAACTACAGATATATATTAACACAGGCTTTCATTCATTCAGTGAATATCGAGTAGCTACTATTTGCCAAAGGTGTCCTGGTGATGCAATGGTTAAGGGCTCAGCTGCTGACTGAAAGGTCAGTGGTTTGAACCCATCAGCTACTCAGCTGGCAATCTGCTTCTGTAAAGCTGGCAGCCTAAGAAACCCTACTGGGCAGTTCCCCTCTTTCCTGTAGGGTCGCTATGAATTGGAATCAACTTGACGGCACACAATAACCACACTTTGTCAGACGCTGCAATGAACATGCAAAGACTATACCCTAAAGGGGTTAAATTGTAGAGATTGAGACAGTATTAATACTTAGATATGAATATTTAATATTAATACTTAAATATTAAATTTCCTAGCCTCATAAAATTGCAGAATAATAAAAATATAAATGGAGAACTGGGCAGAAGAAACTCAACATACAAAGTTGGCAATTCACACAATTCCAGCCAAAATCTCTCAATGGGTATTTTTTTCCCTTTAATTTCACAAGTTTGTTATGAAATTAATCTATGAAGTATATATTCTTAAAAATAGCAAGAAAATTACTGAATATGATCTATTTATGGAAATCTTGTATATGATAAGGATGTCATTTCATGGCAGTTGTGGAAGAATGTATTTGAGGATGTTAGAATAATTGACTATATGCATCACAACTAGTAAGGGAAATGCAAAATAAAATAATGAACTATTTCTAAAGCGTCACACTGGCAAAAATTAAAGCCATGCCAATTATTGAAAAGATGTGGAATAGGAACTTACACATAGTGCTATTGGAAGTAGTTGTATTTAGAACAATTTGGTAATACTTAGTGAAAGTGAAGATGTATTACTTGACCCCCAATTCCATGCTTAATATTATACCGCTAGAGTCCTGTGTGCAGGGAGATGTACACAAGGTCCACTGCAGCATTGTGACAATGAAAATTTGAAAGCAGTGTAAGTGACCATTTGGCTGAATAAGTTAGAATACAAGTTAAAAGAACGAACTAGAGATAATTGTGTCAACATGGATAAACCTCAGAAACAGTACTAATTGTTTTTTATGATATAGTATCACTTGTTTATATAAAGTTTGAAAACATGCAAATGAATGCTGTCTTTTTCATGGTTAAATACTATATAGAAATAGCATTCATGAAAATAATCAACAAATATGAGACAGTGGTAATCTCTGGGGAGGGAGAAAAATGAAATTAGGGGAAGGGTGCAAAGGAAGATATCTTTAATAGTTCATTCCTTTAAAAAAAAGTATGGCCAATTCTTGTGGGAATATCATTTATAGGTGCTTATTCTCTGTACCTTTCTGTATATTTAAAGTTTCATAATAAACATTTAAAGGGTGTTTACTTCTGTCAATCATTTCCTTACTGTACACCAGGCATGCCACCATTTTCTTCAGAAGGAAGCTGCAGTGCAATAGATTTATATATGGCCTTTCTGGCCCTGAGTTTGTAATCCTGCCAAAAATTATTGGTTGGGTGGCAGGCTGCCTTGTCATTCGTCGTGTATTTGCACCTTGCAGGGATCGTTCAATTTGCTATTCAAATAGTGTGTTGAAAATCCACCCAATAGGATTGAGTGACATGCAGTCCACTGAGGGGATTGGTTAGTTTGTGGTCCTGCCAGGAGGGACATATCTTGAAATTGAAAAGGAGTTTGCTTATGTAAGCAGCAACCCTGCAGAGGAAAAGGGGGAGAGGGAGAGGGAAACTCCTAAAAGAGATGTAGTACAGGTCAAGGGCTGTAATATTGAAGATGGCAAGAGGTCCAGAAGGGGCCCAGAGGCAGACAAACGGCAACCGCAGTACGAGCGGCAGGAACCTCTTAGACGAGCGGATGGTGGCTATCTGCAAGCCTTCCGATGTAGCAGAGCTGGGCACCTCCAGACAGGAGGTTGCCAGTGGAGCTGGTCACCCCATAAGCTGCAGTGTGGGCACATGCAGGCAGATGCCCAACCAGAGCAAGCTGTGTGGGCTGAGCTGGCATGCCTTTGGCAGTGACAGATGCCCTGTCTGTGCTGAGAGCTGTAACCCTAAGGCCTAAAGGAGGCCAGATGTGAGGGCAAAGAGGAGGCCTGTCCTGAAGGGGCGTGCATGGCCAGCTTCCATGGCCAAGAAGGGCCAACTTGCTTGCACGGCAGAGAGTAGCTGAGAACTGTCCTGGTTAGAAGCTCTTCTGCACTGAAGAAGGGTGATATGTGCTTTCTACTTTGGGGGAGACTTCTAAACCTGCCTATTTGCTTACTGATACTGATCCCAAGTTGTTCCCTTTACTTCCCCAATAAACTGCATAATTGTGTGATCTGTGAGTTCTGTGTGGTCATTACAATGAATCAGTGAACCCAGCAGAGAAATATAGAATGTTGTTGGGACAGCTGGTGTCAGAAATGGTGAAGAAGTTGAAGACTGGAGATATGTCTGTCCTCTACCTTATAGGTACCAGCTTTGTGCTGATCCTGATTCTTATCCTCCAGGGATTTAGGCAAGTTCTGATGCTAGATTCCAGAAGAGCACTTATAATCAACTTCCAGAGAAAACATTGTTAATTTGATCACTATCATTACGTTTGAGTATTTGAGAATGTATGTTTGTGCTGAGAGTTTTATAACGTATTTGTGGAAAAACAGGTTTTCCCATCATTATTAATGTTTGCAGGGCCATCTCCTGTATGCTCCATGACTTATTAATAAGTTCCCTATTGTTTCCAAACTAAGTGTCTAGAATATTCATGAGCCAACTACCATCCTTTCTGAACTCAGTTTTCTCAGATGTTAACGGGAGATAATTCTATCTTCGTCAGAGAACTGTTAGATGAATTTATCATAATACTAGCAGTGCTTAATGGTAGCTATTAATATTATTTGATAAAATATACTGGGAGAAAGAAAGGAAATAGGAAGTAATGTGAGATCATTACAGTAAAAGCAGTGGATGGAAACAAATTTACTTCAGATAGGTAGGTAGCATACAGGAACAAAGATACACAATAATTGGATTAAAAGATGCATACCTAAATTAAGTCACCATGGTTATAATCAACATTCAGCAGAATTGTTTTTGATGGCTTAAATTTTTTAAATGATATTTACAAGTCACATTAAAAAAAAGCCATTAAGAAATCAAAGAAATTGTCCACCACTCTCAGAACTTGAGAGCCCTCAGAAATATATACTTCCATGATTAAGGATATCAAAGGAAATCAGGATGGAAGAATGAATAATACTTGTCCATCACACTCCACAA